TAATTATTATAATTGCTATATTATGTAAAAAGTAAAATTTAGATGCTAAACTTATAAATTATAAATTTTTAAGATATATGAATGTAATATTATTATGTCTATATCATGTATATTAATTATTAAGTTTATCTTCTTATTTGATGTAAGGGAATCAAGGCCGGCATTTCTCTATCATAAAAAGTTGAATTGTTCTTCTGTTGCCAATAGGAGTAGTGCTAGTATTACATCAAAGCTGTGTTTATGCTATATATAATGTTTGTTGGAATTGATGACAATTTATTAAAAGTATTTTATCAGATTTTTTTTTATTTTTTTATATGTATTCAAAGGGAAAAATTATTCTATGCCGTTCGACGGAGACGAACTTGAATGCACCACGTCATCCCTGCGCTGTGTACCGTGGCTCGGTATTGCTCGGTATTGTTGTTCTATACAGTTGATGTGGTTGTACCTGATTCACCTCCAGATGTAGAGCTATGTCCGGCCTCCGTACCGAATAATTTCTCATTCAAATGACTTGAATTTCTTTGCACTTTGTAATTTTTTTTATAAAACAACGAACTTTTAAGACAAAAAGGAAAAAGTGTATCCCAAACAAAATATGACGTTATCAACGATACGACATGGTTCTAATCCTTGCATTATTAGACAGTTGATATATATATAAAATCTTCGGTGGGGCCTACGTGTTAATAACAAAATTTGGTTACAGAATCCTTAGAAGGTTCCTCCAGCTTTCTACTGCTCGAAAGAGCTACAAGATAAAAAGAAAAACAAAAACCTACGAGCTGGTGGATCCTTTTTTGATATATGAATCTAAAACCAATTCAACTTGCTTATCGGCTAAGCAGTTCGCTTATAAATAGAGGCCATAGATCAAAAGCTTCAAGAACAATAATTAAGCCAAGAAAATAACATCAATATGGCCAAACTTGGTCATGCTTCCTTCTTCTACTTCCTGGCCCTTTTCATGGCTGTTTGGGGCCTCTTTGCTGGCGGAAGCATGGCTCAGATGAGTCATATGTTGTCCGGCGATGTTCTGAAAACTGGTCAGAATATATCGAATCCACTTTACACCTTACTGATGCAAACAGACTGCAACCTTGTCCTCTACCGCAACCCCTCCGTTGCTGTCTGGTCCACATACACGAAGGACAAAGGCAGAGAATGCGAACTCAGGTTGAAGACCGACGGCAACCTCGTCATCTACGGCAAGGATGAGAAGCTCATTTGGCAAACTGAAACAAACGGTACAGTTGGTAACTATGTTCTTCTCCTCCAACGCGATCGGAATCTTGTCGTCTACAGCGTACCGGCCTGGGATTCTGGGACGGGAACAGTTTTATCTGCAGCCACAAAGTAGAATTCAAGATTGGAAGAACAAACGATACCTTGTTTTCTGTCTGGTGAATGTGTGATTTGGACTCTTAGGGTTTGTATTACCAGCTGAGTGCAGTGTTGTAGCGTTATTATGAATTGTGTGCGAAGCAGAATTACAGAACTTTGCTATTTACTCGAATAAATGTTACATCAGTAGCGTGAAGTGTGAAGATTGTGTATTTCAAGTTCTGTTTTTGCTTTCATCATTGAGACATTGAGCACCTTTGATTTTATCAAGGTTCTAAAATTCTGAACAGTCAACGAACAAAAAAGAGGTTCATGATTCGACCGATTTGAAGAGAGCACCTTTGATTTTATCAACGTATGATCGGTCTCGTGACCGGTTCACAATTGAACCGGTCGAACCGATCGGTCCGGTCTGATTTTTAAAATATTGGATTTTATTGCTTAAGATTTATGACATTGTCATGCACTACTTTTTATGTTTGATTTTGTTTTTAATTTCTTGGGGGAAAATTAGGAGCAGAGTCTATATATCATTAACTTTGAAAATGATAGTTCACCAAACAGAGAGGAAACTTAAGATATTAGGGAAGAAAGAGGGGAGAGAGAAAATCAAAATTCGATTTTGGACAACTTCAGACTGTTTTAGTTTGGGGTCTCAATTATTGTCTCAATCGGATATCCCTCGAGTATACTATTATGGAGTCATACAAGAAGCTTCTATGCACCATGCATATATAAGATACTAAAATGTCAATGAGATATCGAACATGATCTTGTACTTTGTTATATCCATGCTTCAAGGAGACTACCTTGTGATTAGTTGAAGACAAAGAAATTTAAAGATGCACTAACGATGCATTAGCCGAGCATTTGCTCTCATCAGCTTATGATACCTCATTTATCACAAAATGACCTCATGTTGTTTGGATGTCCTTACCGAGTCTAAGCTTGGATCATGTGACTTATGAATATGATCTCTAAGGATGAAACGACAATTATAGGAAGGCTTATTGGACTAAGTGGCGTTCTTATAATTTATCAATGGAAATAAAATTTAATTCATATCATTGCTGCTATGGATAAGGATGGAGCCTACATAAGAATAATGATGTATCTCATGGCTACATTGGATGACAAGACTACGATTCACTTGTAAGCAAAAGTAGATAATTAATTATCGGTAATTAAAACTATGGGCCTCTGAAGCACAACATCACGCCATCGGATCCACCATATTCATATAAGCGGATATAAGGCGTTTAGAGATTCCAAAATGAAATTCGATGCATTTATTAATAGATGTTATTTACATAGTCGATAATCCTGAAACACCCCTTTGAACTGCATGAAAATATTTTAAAAAGTCCCTTATACATGCATTGCAATAAGCATGATAATTCATTTAAACATGATATCCACCGTCGCGAGAAGCATTTAGTTGTAACAACTGCATTGCATTTACATGGTAATGATGCATATGCGCGTATCGTAACTTACATACTACATTATGCGAGCATGTTATCTGACATTGCAAGTATATTTTGAAGTGACCTATGGCATGCATTTGCAGGATGCTAAGGATTGCATTCTAGCATGCCGTTTGACATTGCTATTGCACACCCAAAATAACCTCTGACATGTATTTGTAAGATGCCGAAAGTTTCATTCCATCATGTCATTCGACATAGCTTTGAGGAGACTACCTTGTGATGAGTTGAAGACAAAGAAATCTAATGATGCACTAACGATGCATTAGTTGAGCCTTTGCTCTCATCAGCTTATGATACCTCATCTATCACAAAATGACCTCATGTTGTTTGGATGTCCTTACTGGTCTAAGCAAGGATCATGTGACTTATGAATATGATCTCTAAGGATGAAAAGGAAATCATAGGAAAGCTTACTGGACTAAGTGGTGTTATTGTAACTTATCATTGGAAATAAAATTTAATTCACATCATTATTGCTATGGATAAGGATGGAGCCTACATAAGAATAATGATGTATCTCATGGCTACATCGGATGACAAGACTACGATTCACTTGTAAGAAAAAGAAGATAATTAATTATCGATAATTAAAACTGTGGGCCACTGAAGCACAACATCATGCCACCGGATCCACCATATTCATATAAGCGGATATAAGGCGTTTAGAGATTCCAAAATGAAATTCGATGCATTTATTAATAGTAGTTATTTACATAGTCGATAATCCTGAAAACATCCCTTTGAACTGCATGCAAATATTTTAAAAGGCCCCCTATACATGCATTGCAATACACATGATAATTCATTTAAACATGATATCCACCATCGCGAGAAGCATTTAGTTGTAACAACTGCATTGCATTTACATGGTAATGTTGCATATGCACGTATTGTAACTTGCATAATACATTATGTGAGCATGTCATTTGACATTGCAAGTATATTTTGAAGTGACCTATGGCATGCATTTGCAGGATGCTAAGGATTGCATTCTAGCATGTCGTTTGACATGCTATTGCACACCCAAAATAACCTCTGACATGTACTTTTAAGATGCCGAGAGTTTCATTCCATCATGTCATTCAACATAGTTGTTTCATTTCAAAATAACCTTTTG